CACACACACACACACACACACACACACACACACACACACACACACACACACACACACACACACACACACACACACACTCTAGTAAAGTTTGTGCTGTGCCACAGTTTGATCTTCTGCTTCCTTCTCTCTCCAGGAGAGTGACTACTTCACCCCACAGGGAGAGTTCAGAGTGGACAAAGCTGGTTCTCCCACCCTGCTCAACTGCCTCATGTATAAAATGTCCTATTTTCGCTTTGGAGAGATGCAGGTACAGCTGTGTGTTTACTCTGGAAAATATTAGAGATTGGATCATTAAACAAAGAGACTACAGACCGGTGTTTTCTTTCTGCCAACAGCTGGACTTCCGGACGCCTCCGGGCTTTGACAGGACGCGTAACGCCGAGATCGGCAACAAGGACATCAAGCTAAGGCACCTGGAAGAAGCCTTCACTTCTGAGCACTGGCTGGTCAGGATTTATAAGGTCAAAAAACTGGAGAACAGGGACCGTGTGGAGCACAAGCTGCGCAGCACCGACACCGCCAGGCAGAAGTACACCTCCAAAAAGGTACGCTGATATCTGCAGTGTGTGTTTTGGGGTTTCTCAAAAAGTTGTCTTGACTGGTGGTAAACTTTTGGTTTGAGGAAAACAGAAAGATGAATCTGTAGTGATGGTCAGTTTGAAGCTGAAGCTCTTCGTCTGTATCAACCCAACTCACAGTTTCAGAAGCACTGTGTCGGAGCTTGATTAATTTGGTAAAAGTCATGTGATCGATGCTGTCCGAAGCTTCGAGAGCGCTGAAGTTACGTCACTGCTTTCTTCCTGATTCAAAGTTTCTTCTTGCATGGCAAAATGTAAAATCAAAGATCTGGTCTGTATTTATCATATTTATTTTAATCCTCTTAATGCTGTGAAGAATTAACTTTAATGTAAAAGAAAGATTTCGCAACGCTGGGCTTAAAATTTATATATTAAACATCAGTCTGACTTAAAGTAAAGTCTAGGACTAACTCTGAAGAGTCTGTGTCCGAGCTGATTCTGTTGATCCTGGATAAATTATTAAGAAAACACCAGACAGTCACTGATATAAGAATATATTTTAAATATATTTGATCATATTCAAAAATATTCTCAGAGGAATGTCAAAATAAGAGTCTGAAAATCTTAAGATAATTTGAAATTTAACACAAAAATATATTTGTTGGTTTTAAAAATGTCTGAAATAATCCAGTATATTCATGTACTTAATGAAATACAGACACACTTTAAGTTTATAATAAACCACAAACAACCATAACTTTATTCTTTCACCCATTAAAAAAAACTATCTGTTGAAAGCAGCACAACGACAACCTGTTCTCATTAAACTGCTGTCAACTCCGTCAGGATTAAAAGCTTCTCTTTGTTGTTTCAAGCAGCTTTTTTTAAAACAAAAATTAAATGACCTGCTGTTCATATGTTTCTCTCTGCATGACGTACAGTGGGAGGGAGGATGGGGGTGGTCAGTGCTGTGGTGGGGGTGGGCTGCCCTCCTGTACAATGGTAGGAGAAACATTGTGATGCCTTTAAAACCAATGATTTTCTGTCTGCAGATGGCCAAGAGGAAGCGTGGTCACATCAAGAACAAGCTGTCCATCAAGAAGGGCAAGAAAGTGGCCAAGAAGTCCTTATAGGGCCCCCCACCCCCCACCCACCACCACAACAGAGGCAGACTGTGGACAGGAGGGAGAGAAAAGATCCGACACAAAACTTTCAGCAAAAACACGCAGCAGGAAAATCCCAGCGACCGACATGAATGGTGTTCTGAGCGCCACCTTCAGGTGCGACTTGGAAACTGTACCGTCCTGAGCTGAAGATCAGGGGGTGTCAGCTCGTCCCCACCCCGAGCCCCCACCACACCAGTTTTGACCTTACAGACTTTGACCTCTTTTTGTTAGTTTGTTTAATTTGTGTTGCTGGGACGAGAAGAGACGAGTAGTTTTTACTCATGAAGCTGAGCTCAGTCTGACAGGAAACATCCGACCTGTTGTAAACAAACCTCCTGATTGGTCCAAATAAAGCTGTTCCCATCCCAGCTTACAGAAAAGTGCTTTGGTTCTCAACTCCCTGCTGTTTTTACATTTACAGTAAGAGTTTATTACAGGAGAGCAGACTGTTATTTACAGTATTTAGCTTTCAGGTTGTTTGTTTGTTTACAACCTGTTTGATCAGCTGATGTTTGACCCCTCATGACTGCAGTCACACCAGGTGTCAACACTCACTTTCCAGATGTTCACTTCTGATTGGAGCTCAGTGACAGACTGTGGTTTACCCAAATATTTATCCCTCCTTCTACCAGAATACTTCAGATTAATGAAACTTTCAAACTTCAATAATTCAGCATCAAGTCTGTTCAGGTCTTCATGAGGTCTCCTGCTTGGTGGTGGTCCTAACTACACACAGCTGTGTATCATTTGAGCCTCCAATTTCTCTCAGGTGGATCATGTTTAAAGGAGAATGCTTTTTTTCCCCCTCCAATTCATTAATCTATAAAATTCAGTTTACTTTCAGTCTGTAAAGCAAAATAAATCACTGCGGGGGATGAGTATTTGTGTAACCTGCTGTATAAGAACGAACAATCTGTTTTTCTTTTTTATCACCTAGAGTTAAAAGCAGCAGTGATTTAAAGGRGTTTTTCCAAACTGCAGGTTCACTCAGGATTATCTGAGAATGTTTTAAGTTGACACATCTTGTGTTTGTTTTGTTACTGTGGGTTTATGGAAATAAAAGTCTTGTCTTTTCTGCCTATCTGATGAAAAACRCATTTTAAACCATGACAGCAGCCGTCACAGAAACCTCACATTACTGCTAATTTCATTTTTGGTTTGGTTTTAACTGAAGCTTTCTTTTATCTCTGAGTTTTTCTTTTTCTAACGGTTCTGAAAACAACTCGAGTCAGAACGCTGTACAGAACCCAGCACTAGAGGACTGCGTTGGCCTTAAAATAAACCTGGAAGTCAGATTATTTTTTTCCAGAGCTGTGGGTGTATTTATTACATGAAGTCACATAATGCAAGTGTTTTACTTGGGTTTGGTTTTTCTGAAAGCGGTTCTTCCATCAATTGTAATGATCTGGATGCTGGTGAGAATGAAACATGCCTTTTAGAATAAAGAGGTTAAAATAAAATAACTTGAGTTTGGTTTGTTTTTAAACCCTACATCAGAAAACCAGTCCACGAACTGCTTCTGATCAATTATCTTACAGCTTTTAATTGTTTTATCAAATGCTAWAACAGGCTGATAAACGGACCAATGCACACTTTTCTGTTGATCTGAGGCTCCAGGGTTGTGATCTAATCCTTTTTCAGGATGTTTTTGGTTTTAAACCCATTTTCAAGATTTTCTCCAAACCATTATCTGATTGGATTACCTTTGAACTGGTTGCTGAGTCAGTAGTTCTCATCCTCTTCATCATCTTGACTGGCTTCACTCTGTGACTGGGTTGGTTGTTTGCTGGGTTTTGGTGCCACAGAGGTAAAAAAATAAAATAAAATAAAAGCCGGGGCTGTTAACAGGAGGTTGCAGCTTCCAAACCGTGGATTACCAAATAATTGGGTAGGCGAATCACCCTCCTATGGGGGGCCCTTGAGCAAGGCCCTTAACTCTCTCCAGGCTGTTTTCTGTAAAGCTACCAGATATTGAAATAAAAGCATTCAGTGAGGGACAGTTGATAAAACTGATTTATAGTTAGGAGTTCATGTTTACAACAAAAACAATAGGACGTATGTGCAGTCTTTTAAATGAGATCATCTTTAAAATACCAAACAAGCTGAAGAACAGCTGGTAGTTTGAAATCTTTAAGCAGGTTTCTGTAAATCCACATGTGGTTTTTGTCCTTGGCAGTCTCGCGTTTCACCGTTTAGTCCTCGTCGTCCTCATCCCCTCCAAACGACAGGAGGCTTTGGTTTTTTATTTTAACTCCAGACGTCTCCTTCTTCTCCATCTTCTCATCACTCTTCTTCTTTTTGCTGGAGCTGACGGTGATCCCCTGGAACTGGTTTGAGGAGGATCTCTTGGCGGGCTTCTTGAAAAGGATTTTGCCGTCAGGAGGAGCTTCGCCGTCTGTGAAAGCAAATAAAAACTTTTCACCTCAGAGAGAAAAACAGACCCCGCCGTCTTTTTTTCTCTTTAGCTTTTCTGCAATAACTTGATTTAAATCAGTCTGACCTTTCTCTGCATCACCTCCAGCACTTTTCCCATCTTTGACCTTCTTCGCCTCCTCTGCAGTCAGGTCCCCACTTTTCAAAACCACGACTTGAGGTAACTCGTCCTCTCGATCGCTGCCGCTGTCGTCATCCAGAGCCGGCATCACCTGGCGCTGAGAGACATACAGACCTTTGATACGGTGATTTAAAAAGTTTTAATGAGCAGAGGGGAGGTCAGGCCTTGTTTTAAAATGGGCTTGATCAGCCATTGAAAGGATGACAGATACACTCAGACACTGAAACATCAAAGAAAACTGATTTTACAGAGTTTCTCCACTTTTAAATTAAAACTGGTACCCTTGACTTCAATATCCACACTTTTTTTACACTCAAAGTTTATTTTTTGAGCCACTCGTTTGGACATCAAAACACGAAGCTGAAGTTAGCTTCCGATTCGGGAAATGACTAAAGGGATATTACAACTAATTTTTCACTCCCTTGCGTGTGTTTAACCTGCTCTGGCTCAAAAACTACAACATCTACACTCTTCAAACCAGGACTAGATTATTCTACACTAATAGAAGAATAATAAAAACTAAGTTTCAGCTTTGTCTGATTTGTGAAAAATCAATAAAGTTTGTTTTTCATCATTTTATAGGCAACTGGACCACATTAGACCTGGTCCAGCTCAAAAACCACAACACCTGCACTCTTCAAACAAGGACTAGATTATTCTACACTAATAGAAGAATAATAAACACTAAGTTTGAGCTTTGGGAAACCTTTGTATGATTTGTGAAACATCAATAAAGTTTGTTTTTTTATCATTTTATAGGCAATTGGACCACACTAGACCTGGTCCAGCTCAAAAACCACAACACCTGGACTCTTCAAACCAGGACTAGATTATTCTACACTAATAGAAGAATAAGTAAAACACGAAGCTCCATCATTAAAACATGTAAATTTGCTGTAAATGATTATACAGAAGCATTTACATTTTGTTGCTTCAGTCTGTGACTCAAAGGTTACAAACAGAAATGTGTAAAACTGATGAGAAACAAAGGCAGAAAAATATGTTCATTTGTTTAAAGCTCATAAAAACTGTGCTTTATCAATAAAGGGTTTTAAATAAAAGCATCTYTCTGATGCATATCTGCATGTTTTTAGTAAAGGATAAAATGTCAAAAGAAATGATTTGTTTGTTTTACACTAAAATATGAACAAATTTATTGTATTCTAGTCCTGTTTGACATTAAAGGAGCCAACAAGGCTTCAATCAACCCTTGAGATTATTTAAAGGGAACAAACAGCTACAGCYCATCAAGTCAAACAATGTTTTAAGAGGTTAATTTAAGTCAAGAATTAAATTTGTTCGCTAAAACGTTTACACGTCCTAGCCCTGCGAATCCAACCGCAACGAAACGTTACCTTTGTGTCCACACTGGGCCCTTCCTTATATCCAACATCACTTTTAAACTTCTTCAGAAAGGACGGCTCTGCCGGTTTCACCCACGCCACGCCGCTCGCTTTGTTTTTATTCATCATTTAAAAAAATCACAACAAACAAGCAGCTAACGAGCTAAATGCCACTTCCCGAGTAGCGCACCAAAACACAGCAATGAGACGCGCCGAGAAGCGTCACGTGACCACAGGACCACCTATGATTGGTGTAAAATCAAAACTAACCGGAAACTGGTTTTAATACCTTCAAAATAAAACAGTGTAGCTTCAGGAGGGAATAAAATGTGCTTTTTCTAAGATATTAAAAATGAGTGATACTCTATAACTATAAAATCCTGAAACATGTTTTAAGTTTTATGCTCTTATTAAATAAAACAAACAATTGTTGACCAAAATCTTAAAGCATGCTTTTATTTTGAAATACATCGCTTGTCTACATCCTTGAACTGGATGCACTCCTTTTCATTTAGCCGGATAGAAGTGATATAAAGTTTTTGCTGACGGGGGCGGTGTTAACTCAAATGACACATGAGAGCGGTGGGCATTTATTGTGTCATAATAGTAAATCTGTAATATAGATATAAAAATGACTAAAAATCACCTGCTGCTTAACAGAGCCTGGATCTGAGGGAAGCAACGCAAACTCCGCCCACCCGGCTTTGTCAGCCGGGCAACAAATCGTGTGTAGTCGTTTCTGAGATGGTTTCTGGGTCGGTTTACGCGCTGTTAGCGGGGTTCCTGGCTGCCGCCGCCTCTCTGTCTGCTAAGCTGACCGTCGGTGCCGACTACCTGAGGGACATGTGTGAGTCCGGACTGAGCCGGTGGGATGAAGCACGAGACGGATCCACAGTCTGTGACTGGGTGAGTCGTGTTTACTTTGGTTTTAAATATGTCAGATTTAAACAAAGAGCCGGTGTGTTCCCCTTGTTTGATCGTGAATCCATACAGAGTAGCTTTTCTAGAGTGTGAAGGCTTTTCCGGGTTGTTTTAGTAGAACAGGTGTTGTGCCAAAAAAAGTGACGCTCTGCCTAAAGGCGCAGCGGGAGCGCGCACAGCCTGTTTGAGAATCGCTGTTTCTGCGGCTTCAGTTCTTGGAATTAAACACTATTAACACTAAAATACACATTTGTATGCACAAGATAGCAAAGGAATGTCTAAGTTTAACTTTTAAATATTTTTCCTAAACATTCAAAATTTTTCTCTCTTTTATTATAAACATCTGCCAGTTTTAATCCAGTTTTATTGTAAGAAAATGAGCCATGGTTGGTTTTTGGCAAATAAAATCTTATTTGTTTTTATTTTATTTTATTTATTTTTTACAATTTACAGATATGTTTCAGGATTCAAATAACTACATGGGCTAAAATCTTCAAAATATAAAACCTCTGATTGAAGCAGTCAGTTTAGACTGTGGAAAGCCATTTCTGTCACTCTGATGGACACAAAAAACTTGTATCTCATAATTAATTATCTTATAATGAGATACTATCTCATAATTATGAGATACTGATTTAGCTATCTCATAATCATGAGAAAGAAGTTTTTTTTATTTTTTTCTCATCAGTGGCATAAATTGGTTTCCATATAAGACAAACATTTGTCAGTCTGGTAAATAAAAAAAAGTGGCAATACTAAATTATTATATACAATGAAAGGACTGCATTAAGCTCTGACTTTCCCCCCTTTTGAATAAAACAAAGTTATATAAAAGTAAAAATAAACGTTCAGTGTGAAGCTTCAGGTGTTTTARTACTGTAAACATTCACATTCTGAGGGTTTTATCTGAAGCTGGTCACACTTTACATCCAGATAATCTTAAAAGTCATGCAGAGGTTGTCTCACCCCTGCTGTCCTGGTCTTAGCTCCATGTCCCCCTGAGGCTGCTGTGTGCGGGCCTGCTGTTCTCCTGTAACGCTGTCATGTGGACCCTGTTCTCCAAGGCTCTCCGTCACTGCTCCTCCTCAGCCAGGGCCACGGTCACCACCACCGCCTCCAACTTCATCTCCTCTGTAAGAGCCTGAGACACGTCTTTAACCAAGCATTCACACATTCGTATGAAAACACCCTGTGTCTTTTTTTTTCCTCTGGTGTGTTCAGGGCATCCTGGGGAGGTTCATGTTTGGGGAGACCCACAGTTCTCTGTGGTGGACGGGCATGTCTCTGACTCTGTGTGGYCTGCTGGTGCTTCATGCTTCAACGCCTCAGAGTCCCACACAGGAGGGAGGACAGAAGGACAAGTGATGCCTCCTTGAAAGACCTCATCAGGAGTGACTGTTTACAAAGTGGGTCGTGTTTGAGTCCCACAGTCAGAACAGTGGCCTCTGACACCCAACAGGAAGATTTTTTTTATTATTATTATTATTATTATTTATTTGTAGAAGCAGGTTTTCAGGCTGAACTGACGGATCTTTGTTATCAGAGCGTTGAATCTTGTCACCTGCTGTGGTCCTACCGTCCCCACACAGAGAGAACGGTCCAAGTCGTTATGGTTCCAGAATGAGCTGCTATAAGAGCACAAATACTCCTCTCTATACCTGAAGAAACTTAAAGCTCTTCAGAGAACACCTTTCTACGGTGTCAGAAAATATGAAACTGATTTTTAGTATTTTTCAGATTTGGAAAATTAAACTTTTTCCTCTGTTGCCTTTTTAAAGGGTTTTTATTTTTAGTTGCTCGAACAGAGCAGGTTTGTTGAATTCTAGATGGTCATGAGTCATTATGATGTTCACTTACACCAAGCCTCGAGTTTAAGCTTTAATCTGTCAGGATCTTTGTTTTTGAGTTTTTCATTACTAATAGTTACCACCTGCTTCGGATGTTATCATCTATTAAATGGACGTTATTAGCCGTTATCGGTCCCATAGAYTGGCTTCAGACTGTCAGCTGGTTAATATGAGGTATAAAGCCACTAAGGTTAATTTTAGAGAAAATGACATGGGCTACGATAAAGTAGACTGGACTCCGGCGGTAGCAGATTGTTGCATTTCAACGTATGGCACTGGTAACCCACTAGGGGGCACTGTCGGGACAGTCTGAAGCCATTCTATGGGACTGATAACCGCTAATAACGTCCATTTAATGGACTGATAACATCCGAACCGGCTGCCGTTACACGACACATGGGCAACATACAGCCCGAGGGCCAGAAGTGGCCCTTGGGTGATCTCAATCTGGTCTTTTATATCAATAAAATAAAATTGAATTAAATAAAATTAAATTACAGRGGGTAAAATAAGTATTGAACACGTCATTTTTCTCAGTAAATATATTACTAGAGGTGCTATTGACATGAAATTTTCACCAGATGTCGGTAACAACCCAAGTGATCCATTCATACAAAGAAATCAACCATAAATGTCCAGAAATGAAGTTATTTGTAATAATGTGGAATGGCACAGGGAAAAAGGAACACATGAAGAAAGGGAGGTGTAAAAAGGCATGGAAAGCCAAGACACCAGCTGAACTCTCTCAGTAATTAGAAAGCAAGRCTGCCCCTTGTCAGTGCAAGTTAATATCAGCTGGTTCAGTCCCAAATGATGYCCAGGTATCACACAAGAACCATCTGATGATGGGTAAAAGTAAAGAGCTCTCTCAAGACCTTCACAACCTTATTGTTGCAAAGCATAATGATGGCATCGGTTACAGAAGAATGTCTAAACTTCTGAAGGTTCCAGTGAGCACTGTTGGGGCCATAATTCAGAAGTGGAAAGAACATTATTTCACCATAAACCGACCACGACCAGGTGCTCCTCACAAGYTTTCTGACAGAGGAGTGAAAAGAATTATCAGAAGAGTTGTCCAAGAGCCAAGGACCACTTGTGGAGAGCTTCAGAAAGACCTGGAATTAGCAGGTACGATTGTTTCAAAGAAAACAATAAGTAATGCACTGAACCACCATGGCCTGTARGCACGCTCACCACGCAAGACTCCACTGCTGAAGAAACAGCATGTTGAAGCTCCTTTAAAGTTTGCTGCACAACATTTAGACAAGCCTGTGTAATACTGGGAGAATATAGTCTGGTCAGATGAGACCAACATTGAACTGTTTGGATGCCAGAATACACATCATGTTTGGAGGTCAAATGGCACTGCACATCAGCCCAAAAACACCATACCAACAGTGAAGTTTGGAGGTGGGAACATCATGGTGTGGGGCTGTTTTTCAGCATATGGTACTGGCAAATGTCAAATAATTGAAGGAAGGATGAATGGAAAAATGTACAGAGACATTCTTGATAAAAATCTGCTTCCATCTACCAGGATGATGAAGATGAAACGTGGCTGGACATTTCAGCAAGACAATGAGCCCAAACACAAAGCCAAGGAAACTCTCAGTTGGTTTCAGAGAAAGAAACTAAAGCTGCTGGAATGGCCCAGCCAATCACCTGACCTGAATCCAACAGAAAATCTATGGAAAGAACTAAAGATCAGAGTTCATAGAAGAGGTCCACGAAACCTTCAAGATTTGAAGACTGTRTGTGTGGAAGAATGGGCCAAAATCACACCTGAGCAATGCATGCCACTAGTTTCTCCATACAGGAGGCGTCTTGAAGCTGTCATTGACAACAAAGGCTTTTGTACAAAGTATTAGATAAATTTCAGTAAGTGTGTTCAATACTTTTTCCCTGTGCCATTCCACATTATTACAAATAACTTCATTTCTGGAKATTTATGGTTTGATTTCTTTGTATGTATGGATCACTTGGGTTGTTACCGACATCTGGTGAAAATTTCATGTCATTAGCACCTCTAGTAATATATTTACTGAGAAAAATGTTGACGTGTTCAATACTTATTTTACCCGCTGTAAATTAAACAAAACAAAACAAAAAAAAACTTTAGGCACTGAAAATTAACATCTTATTGCAGTCGCTTTCTGTCCCTGAAAACAACCTAAATCTAACATTTTGGACAAATTAAAACTTTATAATACAACAACCTTTCTCTTGGCCTGATAAATCTGTCTGTGCTTCCAGAACCAGACTGAACACCAGTGCCACTTTACTAACGTTATGTTGGATATTCCAGGAAGGTATCTGGCAACCTTTTATTAACAGGCTATGTTAAAACGTGTTCACACGAGTAAAATGGAAGAAAACAAACTAGAAATGTTTTCTACATGACGTATTTTTCTCCCGTGTGACTCTTTGCTCTCAGCTCTGCGAAAACCAAATGCTGAACAAGAGAAACACCTGTTATGTCAGAGAATTAACTGTTACAAATACATGCTTTACGTCAGAAGGTCAACCTGTTCTTAAAGTCTGATGCTTAACGTCAAAGCGCAAAAAATAGCTGAAAATCAAAGCTGAATTTTTTAGTTTGGATAAGTATGAACTATTATACACACATAAAGTTATTATACACATAAACTCATAACTGAGTTTAAAAACAGTACGATGCAATTAGTTTAATGAAGAATCTGTCTCCAGTCATTAAATCAGGTGTTTATTTATGCAGATAAAAGTATCTTTAACAACCTGTTAAAATACATTAGAAATCAAGAAATAGCTTCTAATTTATCCAAAATTTTCTGGGGGAGGACCCCCAGACCCCCCTCCAGTGTGTCCTTTACACACACATTATAAGACTTATGTGAGAGGATAAACCGACACACGTGCTCCACCTGTGTGTCTGCTGTATGAAACTATGGCTGATTGTCAAACTGTATTCTCAGTGAGTTTAAAGGGCTGGTACACTACGTGGGTGAATGAAGGTAAACATAATCTCAGTTAATATGGTTTGAGTATTATTGCATCACAACAGAAACATTTGGTGTTCAGTTGTTGACGAGTGCAGACAGTTAAAGTGAGCACACACTGAAGACATGAACAACTGAAAAACCTGGTCGCACAACTGTGGGTGTGGGTTTAGTTTGCAAATACAGTTTTAATTTGCTAATTAAACAAATAAAACAAGACAAAAATAAGGCTTAGCAGAAAAAAACCTCTGACCTGGTTCTGATTTTTGAAACACTTAAGCTGACTTTTTATTTTTTTTACAAACCTTTAAAATATGTGACAAAAAAAACGTTATTGTCCATATATGTCAAAGATCATCAAAACCCAAAATGTTGTGTTTTAAAAACAGATAAAAATGTAAATTTTTAGAGTTTTACAGATGAGCTCACACACCAATGTAAACATCACACAGAAAAGTTGGACTACAGAACCTGCAGAGCTACAGGAAGGGGGGTATGCATGTCCAAACACAGAGTTAAAGTTTTAATGAAAAAAAAAAAAGTCTGTAGCACCATTATTGCTTATTTGTGTGCTGAACTTTGCAACCATTTAAAACCCATAAAAACAGAGTTTAGGATTTTGTGAAGTCAAGCTAAGAAAAGTCCTGCTTTGTTTAACTTTACCCCTCTGGACCCCCGACATCTAGCACCCATATGTCAGTTTAAAGCTCAGGTATGGAGACATGAAGAGGAAACAGGTAACGTGTGTCAGTCACTACCAAAGAGGTGAGTATTCAAACAATAAAAGGTTGCTTTAGAAGAAAAAGGCACGAGGTGAGTCGATCCTTAGAGAGCTGGAAAAATACGGAGATAAATCAGTCMCAAATGTTTTCAACAATTTTTCAAACGTACACAGTTCAAATTACACAAGTGGGAATAAGCTATAAGTTGTTGAATCCCCAGCTTGGCTGTGCATGTGAAGGTTGACCCTTTCTTCACACTCCAGATTCATCAATAGAAATCTGCAATTGAGGCTGGTGAAAATCTGAGGTATCAGATTTACAGGATTAGCAGATCACAACCCGTGTTCAAACACAAGCTCACATTGACGTGAACTGTACTGCTGAAATAAACTACACAAATGGGTAGTTTATTCTTATTCTGGATAAACTATTTAAAAAAGTGTTAGGAGCAGTGGCAGTGGGCAGGGTGGGACGTCCACCCTGTGATCTATCCTCTGAAGTTAAGCARCCACACTCCAGCCAAACAGCTGACATTGTCTCATATTATCGTAGTTTCATGACAAAAATTGTGACATTTTGTTTGCAGCTTCTAGTCTTCCACTCCTTATCATAACCCACGATGAGAACTTTGAGAACATACTATGTGACTGGTCAGAAGTTCGTGGGCATGTTTGTTTCTGCTAAAAGCACTCAGACGCTACATTTTCCTTAAACTACTCAGTTCCAGAATCTGACTGTTGTACCCGCAAGCAGACATTTATAAAAATCGTCAAGTAGACAAAAACTCATGGAAATTTTTTTGCAAAATTGCATGGAGGAATCCCTCTGACAAAAAGTGTGGTGCATTAACCGGGAAAGATTTGTGGCAAGAGTGGTTATCAAAGTGGGGATCTTTATTTTTCCAGTGTCCAGCAGGAAAAAAAAAACCCCGTGCAGTAACGTACACAGCTGTGGGAGGGGTTTCCCAGGAGCTCAACACGGTGTGTCTCATGAACTATTAAATGTGTGGTAAATAAATAAAACAAACTGTTGGTGGGATTAAACAGGCTCATACAATTTCTCATTTAAAATAATATAGAGATGTTATCCGTGTCCAGTAGTTTGGTCACGTGCACAGGCAAGATGATGCGTGTGCTCGAGTTGACGGATTGGTCTGCAGCGGGTGAGTCCTGAAGGCACATTTGACGAGTTATATGCATAGAATATTTGTGCTGTTTGAAATGTGTACGTTTGAAAAAACTGTGTGAGTTTGTGAATCTTGTACTCTACTTGTAATACTGTTAAAACTAGTTTATAAAAGAAGGCTGGTTGACTTGTTTGGTTCTTGGTGGTCTACTTTAGTGGTTTTTCCCTGATGGAGCTCAGTTTCTCTAATGTTCAGAACGTTCTCTGCGGGGCACACCTGGTTTTCCATCGCTCAGTATCAGCAAACACTTTAAGACACACATACTGTTTAGAACTTCCTTCAGTAATGAAAAAAAACCTGTTGGATAAAAATTTAATCTTTTTGGCATTCTGCTTAAAAAGTCCTGAAGAAGCTTTATGCCTGCAAGACAGATATTTTATGAGACAAAGACCACAAAGCCCTCCTCACTGTGTGGAACTAGTAGAGTGGGATCTCTATGACGTCCTCCTCAATGATGTCCCCCTGTGGGACTGCAATGTGGTCTACTGAGTCCCTTTTGCAGCTCAGTGCTGATAAAGGGTTGAACCATGATGGTGAGAAGGGGCCTCCGAACGCCGTCTTCATGGCCTCCCAACACGGCGTTTTGCCCCACTTTCCCGTCTCTCCTTTCAGCCGCTCGATTCCCTAAACAGGACAGAAGTGGTGAGGATCTGGGGTGGAGGAGAGGGTACCACTCACAGCTACGTCACAACACATCATGGTGCCAACATGGCTCAGACCTAACCTTAGCTTCAGTTGTACTACTGCCAAGAGAAAGGACTGGAGCCCAAGCCTTTACAAAATTGTGAAAGGATCATTTCGTGGCTAGTTCTGTCAGAGAAGCTTCCACCTATCAGTGCGTTACAACAGTTTCATCACAAACTTTTATTTTAACGGCACATGCCACACATGCTGAGTGACTCACATGCAGATCAAAAAGAAAAAAAAACAAAACTAGAGCATGCATCATATTCTTTACAGAGTAGGGATGGGCAGTGGGTTTTAAGTGCTAATCAATTAAAAGGGTGAATTTGAAGTGTTAATGTGACGGCTTTAACAGTTTTTGTTTGGTTTGAAATGCCAACTTGTTTCCCAGTTGTACACTTCCAATCAGACACAACACTTACCATCCATATCCAGTGTCCTAGAGTCTGTTTCTTGCTTTGTACTTTACTTTGAAAGAATTATAAAGCAGAAACTAAAGTCACCGAATACGTGTTGGATATTTTGTGGCTGATTAATTGAATTTCAGATACAATTATTTTATCGATTATAAACTTTTACTTTAAGCGGGAAAAAATAATCAACAAGTCTAACATGTGCCTCACTCCAGCAGTACAAACACGTTTTTTTATTTTATTTTAATGAATCCTTTATTTATACAGGAAAATCTGTTGTGACTCATTGACTCGTTTACAAGAGAGACCTTAACAACAAATAGCATCCACCGTTTTACGATTCAGGAATGTAGGGCTGTTTTAAGTCTACTTCCTGGTTTACTATGACATCATATTTGTGGTTTTAACAGATAAGTATTGTGGCTGTGTCTCAGTTCAGGGGCTGCAGCCTACCTAGACCTCGGCCCGTGGAGGCCTCAGCCTATGATGGTAGGCTGCGTAAAACTACTGTGAAATGAGAGTCCAGCTTTCAGATGGCGTATGTTTGCGTGACCATGCACTACTCTGTTACCATATCGACTTGTTTTATTTCAAGCGTCTTCAGACTTAATGTATTGGAACTCATATTACCACATCTTTTCACTGGAGGAATAACTTCAGTAAATAAAAACATTAATAACTTGGGTTTTTCTCCAGTTTCAGTATTTGTAATTGCATTTATTTCGTCAGCTAAGTTGCTAAACTTACATTTACAGACACATTATTTGGRCTATGATGAATTTCCAAAGTACYTGTACCATGAGAAGGAACCCACAAATTGGGAACACTTGACGCGGCGTGATATAAGCAACAAACAAACGCACGCTCAGGAGGACGCAGCCCCTGAACTGAGACACATCCTGTAAGAACATGTGATTTGTAGCCATTTTGTTTTAGATATCTGAAGCCACAAACAGGCTCYGAGTGAAATGGTGTCTTTAGGTTTAAAAATAAACAAACATTGAACACATGCTACGTTCACACCAAACGCGTTTTGAGCCGTAAAAAAAGCGCACAACGCCTCCTGTTGGACGCACTTTGTTCAGACCGGGACACAGAGCAGACGTGCATCTTTTTCCGGTCTGTCCTCAGAGGATGAAATAAAAGATAAAATAAAGAAAATGGCTTTGCATTATTTACTAAAGAGCATGCAAACGTTGCGCACAGCAGATAATTAATTCACCAGATGATTTAGAGGCGATTTGTTCGGTTAGTTTCGCCACTCCAGAAGCTGCCAGCTGACAGACATTTTTGTTGTTGTTGTCCCGAGCAGCTGAACCACATCAGTACTGATATATCCTGCATGAAAATCCAACTGTAGACYGTCGATTTCATCTAAAGATCTCCTGTCCGTCTGTTTCGGTTTAGTGGGCAACATTCAGGAAACTGTCACGTGGAAAAATGAGTCTCTCTGATTGGTTGTCAAGACGCATTGAGCGMCGAAAGTTCAGATTTTTGAACTCGACCATCGGGCTTTTGACGCAATGCATACACGGAAAATGCTGCCYCCCRTTCTGCGTTCCTTGCGCGCCGCGCAAAACGGACGTGACGTGACGCCCGACCGCTAGAGGCGCGTCCACCATAGACTTTGCATGTAAACTCTCAGCTCCTGCAGCTCAAAAGCATTCGGTGTGAATCCACATTTTCTGCACACAATCTGGGCTTCCAATTTGAATGATTGTTTACACGTGCATCCCCACGATGACCCAAAGAGCCGTTGAAAATGAAGAAATCCCCGACTATCAAGATTAGCAGCAGCACAGGTCTCTGTATCTGAAGCCTTTGGTTCTGTCTCAACTCATGGGTTGCAGCCCCATCTAGTCTACGTCTTCTGTAGACTAGACKGTCTCATTTCACCACCATTTATGCAGCTGACACGAGCGGCCTACGGCCCACGTAGATTGTGGCCAACATTGGCTGCTCTCTATGTAGGTTGCAACCCTTGAATTGAGAAACAGCCATTGTTTCAGTGGGTTTATCAGCTGAAGGACATGGGGGAGTAAAATGAACAAGTTTCAACTCCCAGCAATGTGGGATCCTGGCCAAAGGTTCTAAATCATAAAGGGGCAGCAAAGATTAGCGCTCATTAAGCTGTTGTGCTGAACTTGTGTTATATTAATTAACACTGTCTGAGTAAGAGACTTAAGTCTGTCAGAACACTGAATTGATGCAGGTTGGTCCTACATTTGAAGGAGAGGCTGGTGGTAACCTTAGAGGGGAAGGTGGGGAATTAATATTAAAAATAATATAATGTAATAATATTATATAATAGTGTCTTTGCTCCAAATGCCCATCCCTACATCGCTCACTCATTCTTTCCCATCGTTTGGTTGAACCTGAGGGAACAGTTTACCCTCCAACGGCTGAAAGCTGCATGCTGGATGGGACCATCAGACACGGGCTCTTTCTGCAGTCTTACCTGTGTCAAGATTCTAAAGAGCAGTCAGGGCAGAGAGTAATCAACCAAAGCAGAATGCATGAGTGTGAAGAGGACACTGCGTAGGAAAGAAGCAGATTACAGACTGGGAATGYAAGACAAGGGCGGGAAGAAATTACAGGGAGATGGAAAAAATGCATTCAGGAAAAGA